TGGAGGTGGTGGATAGCCCTGCGGGTAGGCGAGTGGCGGGCAGAGCGGGGGTGGAGCGGGGTGGTGGTTTTGGGGCGGTCTCTAAAAGGTTTGCCATTACTGACCTAGAAAATGTTTTCTTATTGGATCTACAAAAGAAGCTTGATAAAGTCTTGAGGATATATTGTGATGGAATAAAAAAAAAAATAAAAGAGAAATCAAATCCTTCAATAGTTTCTAATTGAATTAAAGATTACGACTGTTAGAATAAAGGAAGGAATATAAAATTGATTTACCTGATCAAGATTAAAATAATTTAATTAAGTTTTCTTTTGCAAAGTTCTGGCAACCCTTTATGGACTTTTTGCTGACACCAGGATTGAAAAGTTGATATTTTATGGATTTGCATATAGATAAAGAGACATATGTTTGTAAACTTATAGGAGGAGAAAAGTTAATAAATTTCTTTGTACTTGTTATGATGAAGGTTGGAAGTCCTTTATATGTTTATTTTTCTTTTTCTTCTCTTTTTTTGTTTTTCCTACACTTTTTCTTTTTTTCTCTAAGTTTAGTTTGTATTAGTTTTACTATTGTAATCAAAATTCTTAATAAAAATTATATTTTAAAAAAATGTTCAGTCAAGAGCATTTGGGTAGGAATTCAAGGAAGTGGTGACAACAATGATACTATTCTTGGCTATAAACTGCCAATCAGGTTCAATCCTCTTGAACCAGGTAGCCAGGGAGAAGAAACATACTAACGATAGGAAGTAACCTGACCAGGAATGGAAAATCTCCCAGATTCCTCAGTGATCCTGCTGTTTTATTTTCCAGAAGGATGAGGAAGAGACAAGTGGATCTGTTCTCCTAGGCAGAATCCTAACCAATAGGAAAGAGATGTTTGAAGAGGTTTTTTTAAAAAAAGCCTATCCAAGTTTATTGCTAACCATAAGCTCACCCTAATGTGAAGTCGCAAATAAATTTGACCATTAACTCCAAGAAAACCTAATCCTAACCAACACAAAAATAACTGTAATATATAACTACTAAACAGAAAAACACACTTATGCTATCCCTCACACTTAGTTATAGCATGCACCACTTGGTATCTTGATCCTAACCCTAGCTTCACTGTGTCACAATAATTAATAAATTCTCAATCAGAAAATCTGCAAATGCCACAAACCATAAAAACTCATCTAATAATAGCATCATGCTAACTTGGCATAAATCTCAAGGAATATTTAGTGTAATTCTAACTTTACCCTAATACCAATAAAAGTGTTTACAGTAACACTTGTTCCAGAAATGGAGGCCAGTAGTAATAGGAACCTAAGATTACCTCTAATCATTGTGTGGATCTTTAATGCTTAGCAGTAGTGTTACACATCTCCCAGCTGTGAAGAATGACTGCACTTTTTTTTAGGCTAATTATTTAAAGATTGATTAGAGTACAGTGACTGTTCAAAGTTACAACAGCACTGAGAAAAGTGACTTATAACTGTTTTTCATATTTATGATTGTTGCAGCATCCCCATGGTCATGTGATCAAAACTCAGACACTTGCCAACTGACTCATATTTATGACTGTTGCAGGGTTCATGTGAGGCATTGTTTATCTTAAAGAATCTTTATTCAAATTGCATGGCATCAGATGTGCATGGTGGAAGCCGAAATCTGAATTCTCCTCCCCTAAACACCTAGTATCAAAGCAAAATTCCCTCCTCTAATTAACAGTCATAAATCACATTCTCCAATTAGTTTGAAATGCAGATCTTCCCTCCAGTTCTTCAACCTGCCATTTCTTATCATCTCTTATTTCAAGCAACCTTAAAAAACACTCTACTACAATGTTGTTATGTCTAACTAATTCCCATACACATTCTTCCTCCTTCCCCCCCCCCCCAGTATCATCTAATTCTAACTCTAAAAGTAACACACAAGTTAAGAGGAAATTGGCTGCATCTTCATATGTTGTCAAAGCAAGAACATCAGATGTTAGCAGCATTGACATCTAGATTCACTTAACAACCATGTTACTAATTAACAATTATAGTGATTCACTTAACAACTATGGCAAGAAAGGTCATAAAATGGGGCAAAACTCAACAATTGTCTCACTTATCAACAGAAATGTTGGGCTCAATTGCGGTCAGAAGTCAAGGACTACCTGTATTGGGGCCTACCAGAGCAGGAAGGCTGAGCATGTTATGGGTCCCATCTATTAAGTACATCTGATGGTACATAGAAGAAAGACCTTCTGCGTGATGGTTCCCTCGCTTTGGAACATCAACCCCCTGGAAATAAAATTGTCTCCCTCCTTGCCACTTTCCCTGAAGGCCCTGAAGACATGGTTTCTCAAAAGGCTTGAGGACACCAAGCTGAATCAGAGTCGATCAATTGATTGTATTTGTTGCTGCCACAGGGTTAAGATTTTTAGATTTTGTATACAGTATTGTTGATCTTGAATGTTGTAGGCTGCCTAGAATCGCTATGTATGATTTGATTGGATATCTAAAATTATTTAATAAATAATCTGGCTGTATATAAGATGTGACTTCTATATTATTCACTTCTGGATGACTGCAAGTCTTTTATGTCTGTGTCTTCCTAATTTTTTTTAACCTATAGGGAGCACTTTCACACTAATATAACTGAGCATCTGCCCACACCAGCTGTCCCAGATTCCCTCTCTCTTATAGAGAATTCAGGGGCATTTGCTCTGGTTGTTTGAGGGCTCTTCATTTCATTATACTATTTGAAAATACAAGTCTTAGAACACCTTTCTTCCAAAATACGCACATGCTGTACAACTGCAGGACAAACCATCAGAAAGAGGAAAGATGTATTTCAGAAACTATTCTTGTTTATTTTTAAGTTCACCCAATGTGGCTGCTTTCTCTTAGCGAACAGCGAAAATAATCATGGGTGAAATAAATTCCCAATGTGGTGTAAAATGTAACAATTCAGTTAGCAAGTGATCTTCATTAATTTATAGCCTAAGCTGATTTGCTTTTATTCTTTCACCCATTTTATTTAATACATTTGACTTTTCATCAATATGTGTTCTCTGAAAACTTTGAGAAATCAAGAATAAAATGAAGTTCAGAAAGACCAAAGTTTAAGGGCTTTGGTATCAGTCCTAATGGGGTTATTGCTGAAAACATAAGAAAACAGTTGACTACAAGTCAACAGATAAGTTAATGGCATCATCTTCATCAATGTGTTTATTCAGTTTTGACCAATGTGAGCAAAATATTTCACTTCTGAATAAGTATGCAAAGGATTATCATCTTTGGCATTGAATATTACTGGGGCAGGAGGACAACAACTCTCCTTAATTTGCCTCACACTCTACAAAATACCCTCACAAAGGAATTTTGTAGAGAATGGCCTGCAGAACTAGAAAACTGTCAGGTGCAAATAAATCAGAAGCATTTATTGAATTCAAAGCACAGAAGAGTTTATTATTTCCACCTCTGTGCAAGGCTCTAGTCAACTAACAATCAAAACTAAACTAGCTCTAGATAAGGGTCAACAGATTTCACGGGGGGGGGGGTAGACTTGGGTCTCTTGTGGCAATGCAATGACTCCAAACTGATGGCTTGTTTGACTCCAGCTCCTGAAATATATTTTAGTGGGATTTCTTTTCAGATTGGCATTAGGTCAGAGATCTGTACATTAGTTTGTGCCCTTGGAACTCTTCAGCTTTATGTGCTTCAGAAACAATCTGCCTATCAAAGCTTTCAGAGCCCCTTAAGCTTTTAGTAGACTAAAAGCTTAACCAAGAGGAAAAGCTTTATTTTCTATCAACTAGTATTGTAGTAGATTGCCACTCGTCTAGTCTGTACTTTACAAAATGAATAGCAAGCTCACAAGTCAAGGTCTCTGTTGTATTCATCAGACAAAGCATGTAAACCCATGAAATCTGCGTGAAGAACCATTTCCTGACTTTTGAAGGAAATTCACATTTACTAGAGGAGAGAATTAGACAGTATAGATCAAAACCATCGGCAGGGTTTTCACATCTAATATTTTAACTTCAGGAAATGAAGCCAGGGGGTTGGCATTACCAAGCATCTACAGCTCACTATTAGAACTTTTCTAGCGGTGAGTTCTCTGTTTCGGCTCCTTGTTGCCAATACTTGTTTGTCTACATTTTCTGAGTGAAGAAGCAAGCAAGCAGTCAGGACCATTTGTTTCCATTTCTCTTTCTTTCTGCTTTGGGTCCAAAGTAAGAAAGCAAAAATGAAGAGTTGCAGCAGGAGTGAAAGCAAGGGAGACTGTCGGACAAACATGCAAAGCAGGAGCTCACCCTCTTTGAAAGTGATGGGTCTTTCAGAATTGGGCCTTAGGACATGTTCCTACCATACATTTAAAACTAATGGTGTAGAAGGATAGCTCCCATCATAGCCAGGATGCTCAGATGAGAGCACGTTATTTGTAGGAAGTAAGAATCAATATGTTGATGTAAAGCAGTGGTTCTCAACCTTTTTAATGCCGTGACCCCCCAGCCGGTCGTAAGTTGAGGACTACTCACCCGATCGTAAGTCGAGGACTACTCAACTGGTGCAGCACCGTTTGCAGAATGGGATTTTTGGCGGGCTCAGCAGGGCAGAGACAGCCTGGACAATTCCTATTGGCTTTTGAAAGCCAATAGAATTAGACTCTATTCAAGAGAGTCTATTCTATTGGCTTTCAAAAGCCAATAGAATAAATGGGAGTAGCACAGCTAAGGGAAAGGGGAAAAAATGGCGGACTGCGTTGTTTGGCGACCCCCGTGAAATGGTGGTTTGATCCCAAATGAGGTCCCGACCCACAGGTTGAGAACCACTGATGTAAAGACTTGTCATCTGCCTTTAAGTTCTTATGCTGATTATTTCTTAACTCTTTTTGTGCTTTGCAATATATTGTCTTGAAATGAAATAGTTTGATGTGGATATAACATGTCTGAATGTGAAGTTTGTTGGACTGAGAGATTCATTCTATTTTTATCCATGTCTTACCTCCCCCTTGACTTAGGTCTGCCTTATGGGTGGGAAAAAGCGTATACAGCAGATGGAATCAAATACTTCATCAAGTAAGTACATCACTTTCAGAAGGCAGTTATAAAATAGATATATAAAATAAAGGTTTATAGTGCATATGGCCACTAAGAATATGATCACCATGCTAGTAAAAGCATAGAAATATGTTCTAGCTGGCACGTACTTTGCAAGTTCTTGGTAATGCATATCTGTAGAAATTTTGGGCATAGAAATGAGAATTATCTTTTAAAAATCAAGGGAAGCTTCTACTGATAGCATTTCTGTTATTGTGTTGTCTTCAAATTCTGTAAATCTTTTGCCTTTTACTAAGGATTTCCAGGGACAGGAACATTTTTACTGTGTTAGTTAGTTAGTTAAAAACTCTTTTCAGAATGCAGCTTAGAGGCTGGTCAATAAAGGTTACTCTGCTTCTTAGCATTTTGTTTCTGTAAAAGTACGGGAACTATTTCTTCTTTCTGTCCTACACCTCCTTTATAATGGGGTGGGGATTGAGGTTGGTACCAGATGAGTTGTGTGCTTGTTTTTTATATTAATCAATGTCATGTCATCACTCAAAAGGTGTTATGCATTTATCAACAGCAAACTTTTATCACTGAAACAAAATGAATGTGTGAAATTTCATCTCACTCAATTCAAACAAATGACATTTAAAGATTTCCTCCAAAGCGTCAGGTTGAAGTGATACTGAGAAATATATTTTTGCAAAAGTCTAAAATAGGTTACTAATCCTCAGGAAGGATGGTGATCTCTCCTCTCCTCTTCTCTCCCCTCTGCTCCCCCCTCCTCTCCTCTCTCCTTAAAAATTAATATTGGTCCATTTTCTCATTTGTCATTTAAATCTTTGGTAATTAACAGTTTCTCTTAATAAGCTTTGTTTGGAACAGACCAGTCCTGAAAGAATTTCGCAGACAGAAGCACTTTTAAAATAAATGTAATGGGCTGAAACAGGAGCCAGGACTGCCAAAAGGTCTCAAAAATTTAAAGAAATTTTTAAAAATTACATATACATAATAAATATACACTAGCATCTTAAAAATAGTGACACAACATTTCCATTTATACAACAAAGTCTTTATGAGTAAACATCAAAATTTCAGTCAGCTAATCCCAAAGAGAATGTGGCAAATTTTCTTTAGATTAGAACATACAGTGCACTTTTATGTTGTAGAGGAGCCAGAAGATTGAGGCCATATGGCACATATTTTCCTGACAGTTAGAACAATTAATCAGTGGAACAACCTGCCTCCAGAAGGGGTGAATGCAACAACACTGGAAGTTTTTAAGGAGAGACTGGACAGCCATTTGTCTGAAATGGTAAAGGGTTACCTGCCTGAGCAGGGGGTTGGACTAGATGACCTCCAAGGTCTTTTCCAACTTTTTATTGTTGTTGTTGTTGTTGTTATTATTATTATATAGCTTGGAACTGCTCCCAATATTGCCTTTTTTGGTGCTATTTGCTTCATTTATAGCTTGTATATATTTGGCTGTTCCTGAGATATGGGTAGAAATAGTTTGTTCTTCTTTTATCAGAACTGTCCACTGCTAAATAAAAGAGGCTTTAAATCTCCTAGTACTAAACAGTATCACATTAAACAATAAGCAGAACTTCCAATAAGATGACCAGAAAAGAGGAGTTGGCACTTCACTGGATGTCATCCATTAGATAGTTTTGGGATTGTTTTGCATGGTCGCTTCTGCAGACCTGAGAATGTTTTTTAGTTTGGAGGTTTATTTACAATAACTATTTTGGATAGAGAGAGAGAGAGACAGAGAGGCAGATTAAACCAAAAGGAAAACCAAATAAGAGGGATGGTCCTCAGTAAACAAATTGGAGTCAGCAGATATTCAGTCTTCAGGGACTTCTCCTTCACATAATAGTAGAATATTCCGTGGGAGGACTTCTGTCAAAGAGCAGGAGAAACACTATTTTTAAGCTAGAACATTTTAGACTGGCTTCTGCCTGCCTCAGCAAATAGTTAATGACAAGATGAAAGTGCCTTTGTGAGAACACCTCCTCAACAAACTGTTCATTGGTGTCCTTGCGCTGTGGCAAACAGGATGTATGGAAGAATCCATAGACAGGCATGAGTCAGCAGTCATCTCTCAAGGCCAATCAGTTATCCAGCAACCAAAAATTACTGCCATCTTAAAAAAAAGATTTCTTTTCCTTAAAAAAAAGGTTCTCAAAAAATATTTTTAATCAGATGGTCCCATACAGACTTTAATTTAGCACATATGTACATTATATAAAGAAAAATTAGCAGAAGAAGTAAATTTCAGTCTGTTCTTTCAGTCTTTGGTATTTGAAATAGCTGCAGTTATGAGGGTCTTAAAATTATTTCCTGCTATTCTGTTTCCAGTGAACAAAATTAGGAACATGACTTGGTTGTCATGGTAATTATAATTCCCCATATCATTCTAACTTTTAATCTACTATGCCTGAATCCTTCAGTTTATAGCTTGGGGCTATTCTCTCAGTTGCATTTCAACTGAAGGTGATGGGTTAAATTAGATTTCGTTGTTGTAGGGCAGTGATGGCGAACCTTTTAGAGACCGAGTGCCCAAAAACTGGCCCCACCCCCGCTCACCCCCTGCTCTGCCCCCACTCCGCCTGCCCACAGGGCCACTCACCGTCTCCAAGGCCTGCCGCAGATCGCCCAGCAGCGCCATGGCAGCCACGCCCTCTGCCCACGCCCGGCAGCATCAACTGTGCGCGATGGGGCGTGAGAGCAGAGTCTTGTCTACGCTGCCTGGCTGCCATGTCCTTGGCTGCACTTCTCCGCATGGGCCACGCTCGGGGGCAACTCTTCTCCAAGAGGGCTGCTGGTGAGGAGGGGGTCACGGGGAGAAGCAAGGCTGGGGCAATGGCACGTGTGTCCACAGAGAGGGCTCTGAGTGCCGCCTCTGGTACCCGTGCCATAGGTTCACCACCACTGTTGTAGGGAAAGATACTAGTAAATGCAAGGGTATTATTAACTCAGCAGATACCTTGAATCCATAAGTTTCAATAACAATGAATGCAACAAATGCTTTATAAAAATGGCATCTGACTATTTTTAAACTGGAATAGTAAAGTCAACTCTTCTTCAGGTTTGAAATTGACTCATGCTGACCACACAGGGACTGCCATATTATTTTCTTGGCAGTGTTGTTAAGACACTTTCTGGAATGTTCTTTCAGTTTCCCAAACAAACCTATGCTTCTGGAATATACCGGTGATCTCTTATTACAGGCTGGTTTATGTTTGTATTGGAAAAGAACATGTTTCTGTCTATTAATATAGAAATATATTCTAAAACAAAGATATACAGCATAATTTATTAGGTGTTTTATTACATACTATATGTCATAAGAGTTAATTACTTAATCTGAGATGTCAAACTTTTGTATAGATTACCCAATCTCTCTGTTAATGTTCTTCTAGAACTTTAATATGCATTATTTGCTAAGAGTGGCATATAAAATAATATTTGATCCTATAGTTATGCTATATGATCGCCAACGTCGATAATGGATATGGCACAAGAAGAAGAAGATAGTTATGCTTGAGCTATAGGAGACTGCCACACAATTCAGTATGAGCTTTCTTGCACAGAATCTTTTAGAATGAGTGGCGACTACAAAGTAACTAATGATTTGCACAGATTTTATTCAGTAAGACAAACAATTGAAAAAGACCATCCTTATAGGTATTCCCTTTGGAGTTTCCCATTAGGCCATGCAATATGGGCTGACATAATGAAGCTGCAACTAAGTACTTGACTAATTTTTCTACTGCAGTCATTGAATCAGCCTTCTTTTGGTGCATAGTGTTAGAGAAGTTTAATTTCTCTGTTGGTGAAAATAAATCAGAAGCTCTCACAGTTGACTGCATTTAGCTGATTCAAAATAACTTATTTATATTTATATCAAAATATTTACAATACCATACATTCTTCTTTACAGCAACATAGCTCAATTGAAGACTTCTTACAGAGAGATACAGAGACAAACCTGAGACTGAAAATTCAGCTTCTAACTCAATACCCTTTTGCATAGACTCAGTAGCACTTTCTTCACATTGGCTGACTGAGTTACCACATGACTCTTCCTGCTCATGAATACTCCAACACTCCTCCCTTCATGACAGGAAGAGACATCAGACCTATTGACTTAATACATTCTCCATAGTGAACACTACCCAATGGTTTAGTCATCATGTCTGCCAAATTATCCTCAGAAGAACAATGATGTAAACTAATCAATTTTCCTTTTACAGCTTCCCTGACATTACAATACTTAATGTCTACATGTTTACTTCTGTTCTTCACCCTATCACTAGTTGCCATTTTTATACAGGCAGCATTGTCTTCAAATACCTTTACAGATTCTTTTACATTAATATTGAAATCTTGCAACAACTATACATTATTATTTGGCAATACCTTTTTATTATATACCCACTTACAACCCACAGCTTTGGTTCCCTGTGGCAAAGAATATACTTCATGTTCTCCCATGGATTTCATCTCTTTATCCATGGCCTCCTTCCATCTTTCTTGTTCAGCTTTTGGTAATGCCAACACTTCTTTATAACTTCTTGGCTCATACCACACGTTGCAAACCTTTACCTTGCTGGCAGAATACCTGTCAGGCGGAATTCCTTTGTTACATCGCTCTGACCTACATGGTATTATCTGCTCCTGTGTCTCAAGTCTATCTGGCTTCATGTCTTGTTCAGCCTCTCCTCCCTGAACATTGACATCTTCAATAAGCATTTTTCCATCATTAGATGAGTTATTGTCATTAAATAGATCACCGTCATTAAGTGAGACATACCCAGAATTTACATTAATTCTGTCCCAATTTTGTTCTGCAAAATTAGCAGACCTTGAAATTACAATTCCTTTACTTCCATCGCTAAAGCGATATCCTTTTGACCCTGGCTCATAGCCCACAAACCTGAGCTTTCTTGCCTTTTGCTGTCCCTTTCTTCTGATTGCTTTCGGAATATGTACCCATGCAGTACTTTCAAAAATTCTCAAATGTGCCA